AGTGTGGGGTCAGCTATTACAAGGCATCCAAAACTCATGAGCCATGAAGCTACACCCTTCAGTTACATTATAGCCTGCTATATATTTAATGTATTTTACAATACAGGAGGATGGAGGAACTCTTTCAGGTGGGAGTCAGAGCAGCTGGGGAAATCACAGAAATATATTGCCTGCAGAGACACACAGAGGCTGATTTGAAGAATACCAGAGATACTTGGTGCCTGCACTTCATCAGTATTGTTAGCTTGCAATACACACTCCGTTTGGGACCCCAAAACAGTGTTTTCACACAGAAAGGGTTGTTGTTTCCTTAAAACTGCACTGGAATTTTGTTTGGGAAACAGTTTATGTATAAACACTGCTTCCTGGAGTTCAACTAAGGCCTTGTTCACACCAAATGCAGAACAGATCCGCTCAGGTTTCTGCACACGCAGTGCAGTGACTTGTGCCGTGTTTTTGATGCGTTTGCAGATCCAGAGCAGGTAAAATGGGGCTTGCTGCAGTTTTTTCACCTGCTCTGGACCTGCTCTTGAACTGCACGCTGCTGAACTGGAGCAAAAAATACCATTGGAATACATTGGACGCTTGATTTGTATTGTGATTGTAATGTCTTCCTTATATTGTAAAGCGCTGCGCAAACTGTTGGCACTATATAAATCCTGTATAATAATAATTGGATGCAGTTTTGATCCGGTCTGCAACTGCTCTGCTCTGCGCTTGGTGTGAACAAGGCCTAATGGTTGATATTATGGATAGATGCCAGCACACCAAATAAACTGTAAGCAGGTTTAGCTTTACTTGCGCAACATCATACCAACAAAATGTCAGAGACACACAGGGCCTCTTTATCAAAGTGTTAAAAGTTAACTTCACTCAACTTTTTATTTCAGTTTTGAGCAGGCATTGCCTATTTGTATTTATTTTTTAATCAAATGGAGTCTCACCACATCAGTTTCTGTTACTCTTCATCTAATAAGATCATAACAAAGGTGTGTTATATACAGCTGAATTTGATTTAAGCTAGGTCTTAGAGCCATCACTCTTCTATGATTCTATGTTTCCAAAGTATGGCTGATGTAAAAAAATGATGCAAACACAATTTTCCCGGTAAAGATGATCTGAACTGTGGAAGCCGTGCTTAATAAGGGGCAAGTAATGGGCAAAGGTTATCGCCATTGCTTATAGACTCATTGAAACTAATCGTTTTCCATGAACTGACCTATGATTCTTTGTTCTACACTGTGTCTCTTTGGGGAGGCAGCCATCTTGGTAGATGCAGGGCTTTGCTTCCTCGTGTTAGTTCTGTCTCTCCCATGACTGGTGATGAATAATCAAGAAGCAGCAGGGGAGACAGATAATACAAAGATCCACAGAATAAATGAAGCAGAAGCAGGGGGATCCTTTCACTGCATGCCCTCAGATGCAGCTTTCTCTACTGTCCAGTAGGCCCTGAAGAGAACACTGAGCATCACAGTAGTTATATCAAATAATCCCGCAAGACTGGTAGCCAGAAGCAGCATTGCCTCATGCCACATTTACACTTGCATTTGCAGCAGTATCACAAATTGCTCCATGAGACTCATGCAAACAGCTGCGGAGGGGAAGAACTATATAATGACAGCTCTCTTATCAATATCTTTTAGTAAGTGCGGTTCTAGAGAACTCACTTAACAATAGATATTGATAAGATGGAACAAGCTAAGAGATGGGCAACAAAAATTGTAAAGGTTCTGAGGGTTGAAACATATCATGAGAGACTGCAGGAACTTAATATGTACACACTTGAGAAAAGAAGAGAAAGGAAAGGAGGGACATGAATGAAACCTTTAAGTTCATTAAGGGTGGGAGTAAAGTTCAGGAAGGTAGTATATTTAAAATGAAATCACATTGAGAAATGTATGAGACTGCCCAAAAGCAAGTGTGAGTGGCCCCTTAGACGATCTTACTGTGTAGATAGTCAGTGGGTTCTTCCAATCAATGCAGATGGGAATTTAATCTGCTCTGTCACATAAAAACAACAAATACCGTATCACAAAGGGGTTGATGTATAAAACTTCCGCCCAGCCATGTTCTTTCAGTCTTACTCACTTTGAGGTGTAGTTTTTGAAGAATGCGAGAAAGGAGTCTGGGAAATTTGGCTTCATCCATTTCATTTATAATGGAGACTGCTTGCTTGATGCTAGGAAAGATAGAGAGAGATTTCTTAAATAGAAAACTATGTTGGTTTTAGGTACATTTTTTTAAAAGTTTAAATATTTTTAAACCAATATTTTATCAGTTATTATAAAATATACATTCTATGTTTTACAAATAAATATATATAAACTTTTACACTTGGTGGTTAGCTTTTGGATGGAGCAGCACCAGCACTGCACACTTCAGGATTCAGTACCCCATGCTGCAGAGGAATCCACCTGAAAGTACGTGGTGCCTGCGTGATAGTGCTGGGAGCTTTCATCACAATATTGATATGGGTATTTTAAATAGAAAATATGCCAGCAATGTACACAGAGTGTACATGAAGCAAGCATATGCAGCTGATGTACATGAACACAGAAACTTACATTTTGTGCTAGCCTTCCTCTTAATTTCCGCTGTGCATGCATGCCCGCCCCCCCTCTCCCACCACCAGCCAGCCCCAACCCCCCTCTTCCCTTGACACTGTATTGTGTGTAAAGGCAGAGCGTGTGTTTACTAATCATGTTACAATGGGTGACAGGGAGGGCGGCAGCTGATTACAGTCTGACACCCTGGTGTCAGACTGATTTTCCTATGGAGAAAATGTTTAAACCAAATGCAGACCAGATCTGCATGAGGTTCTGCACACGCAGTGCAGTGGGTTGTGCCGCGTTTTTGATGTGTTCCGGGCTGTTTTTGGTTGAATTGTTTTATTTATTTTTTATAGAATAGGGTTTCTGTGCATTCCAGGGTGTTTTTGATGTGTTTGCATGCGTTCCGAAGCAGGTAAAATAGGGCTTGCTGCAGTTTTACTACATGCTCTGGAACTGAACGCTGCGGTGTGAACTAGAGCCCAAAATACCATTGAAATACATTGGACGCAGTTTTGATCCGGTCTGCAACTACTCTGCTCTGCACCTGCTCCGCGCTTGGTGTGAACAAGGCCTTAGGCTTCAGGCCTAATAAAACCTTCCAAAAAAAAAGAAGAAAGCCTGCAATGCGAGTCATGAAAATGTGCAAATGTATACATCATCACTGTACCTCGTCATTACCACAATAAATGCTAATCACTTAAAAGGTGGAAACAAACTTTAAAGCAGAACTTCAGGAAACAAGGTACCTATAATGATGGTGGATTACTGCTGTTTACTGCACAAATCACATATTCATGCATGCCAGATATTACTCATATCACTCTTTTACTGGCACTGTGACTGAGAGCTCCCGTATGGTGAACATCCCTTCAGTCTCTCTTTGTCCGTTCACAAAATGCCTTGTATTCTGTTCAGAGAATGCAAGGTGTTCTGTGCATGGACAAAGAGAGGGGAGAAGCAGGTAAATTATAGGATCACCCTAATGTTAGGGTGTCTCACCAGTCAGTCAAAAATGCCACCAGTCAGCATGACCAGACTATAGCCTTGTACCTGCCAAGCCTTAAAATTGCGCTCGCCCGAAAATCGCCAATTTACATGTCAGGTCCTCTTTATGAAGACATCACGGGTCTCCAAGACCCCTAATGTCACCTAGGGACCCCCAGAGAAGCTGATGAAGCAAAGATCTGCTTCATCAGCTTCTGTAGCTGGAAAGTGACACAGAATGCAGGAAGTGATGTAATATACATCACTTCCTGCCTTCCTGGACTGGAGAGTAGATTAAAGGGAGATCGTGTACTGATCTCCTGTCACAGAGCCGTGCCGGTCCCGGCCGCATCGGGCACAGCGGATCTCGGGACCGGCAGTGACAGCTGCTGGTAATACAAGCGACCCGGCGTCTCGAGATGCTCGATTGCTTGAATGTAAAGCTCCCGGCCGGCTGTGTAATTACAAGCTGCTCGTCGGGCTCCGCCGTCCTCTCGTCACAGAGGAGCGGACGAGTGGATTATAGTATATACCTGTTGAGGCCACAGGAAACCTGCCAGAGCTACTACAGGGCTTTACGTTGATCTTTGGTACTACGCTGTGCTGATCGACTTCCCCCTGCGGTAAAAACACTGGTGATTGCTCACTCCGCACAGTGGTCATTCAGACAATGCCTAGTATCGTTATCAATGAATAACAGGAGTTCCCAGATTGGATGAGGGGTGGTGACGTGATGTCACAACCCAGTGGCAGTAACATGATCCAGTCAATTGCTGCAAAGCACTGTAGTAGCTCCGGCTACATTGTATTACAGGATTCCTGTGGCCTGTATACTAAACTAGACCAAGCTGGACCAGCAGAAGTGTATATGAATAATTATATCAGCAGTTCAGCTCACGATTGTAATAGGAAAATAAAAACATGCAGGTTGGAGCAGGGTCCACATCTCCCACTAGCAGGAAGTGTCAGAACCAGCCAATCACAGCAGCCTGGTCTGCAGAAAAATGTCTCCGTATGCAGACACCATCTCGGCCCATCATTTGGGTCCTGACACCCAATCACTAATATTACTGGGAATAAAATCATGGAAAATCCAAACAGAAGGTTAACAGAGGAGAGATCTTCCAATGGGGACACTTGTCTGGTGACAGCTAAAGGCCTGTTCACACCAGCAGGTCTACGTTATGGTGCACTGGTGTGTGTTGTAAATGCGCACTGTGGCGGTTTGTTATAACACATCGCAGTGTTTACTTTTTTTTTTTTTATGTAAAAAATAAACACATGAATGAACTCTGTGCGCGATGACACGGTGTGATGTGCTGATACACATTGTAGGTGCACTGTATAGAAGTGGAGACATGCTGTATTTTTATTCACTTCCTGTTGAGTCTACAGGACAGGAAGTAAAGGGAACTCTCCCTAATGACAGATGGCATCAGGAAAAACTGACCATGATTGTAACCCTCCCCTATTCCATCCAGAAAAGTTTTGTTTTTTTTAGATACTTTAATCTCATTTTTCCAACAAAATATTATTATGTCTCCACCTCAAACAGGTTAACCTCCATGTTTCTTTAAAGAAGAACTCTGGGTACAAAAGTTATTAACCCTTGCAGTGGGGCTACCCCTGCACTGCAAGGGTTAAGTGCTCATTTTTGTCTAGGGTCAAATAAGTTATTCTCACCTGATCCTTCGAGCCAGCCAGCTGTCACTGCACTCCCTCCTGCCTGTCTCCTCCTCCTCTGCAGTGATGGTATGTCCCTCGACGTCCTCATGTCCTACACAGGGTGTATAGAACGTGATGATTCAGGGATCTTAGACCACAGCAGCGGAGGGGGAGTGAGGCTCCAGGGACCGGTCTAAGAACAGGCCAACTTGGAGGATCAGATAAGTATAACTTTTTTTTCTTTTTGGCCCTAGGCAAAAATGAGCACTTGCAGTGATTGCAAAAATGAGCAGCGCATATGTAGCCCCACTGCAAGGGTCAATAACATTTTGAGTGGAGCTCTGCTTTAATGAAAGCCCTTTCTTAGGATATTGTGCATCAGGACAACACAGCAGAGCTAACACAGGACGCAGAGGAGACCCTGGCACCTGCACTGGAACATTTGTACATGTATTATATAAGCACATTGTCAGTCATATGATACAGGCTCCATGATTCTTATATGACAGCACAGAGCACAGAGCACACAGCCTCCCACCACCCCCGGTGACAGCTGTCACTCACACAGTACACAGACCCCTCCCCCTTGCTCTACCTCGCGCTCTCCTTCACTATCACCGTAGCCATAGTGACAAGCACCGCGCCAAGACACCCTCTGCACCTAAGTCGCGCCGGTGATGGTTTAAGTCAGAGGGCAAGTCACGTGACTCCTGCACAGCTTGTCAGCTGACCGACTTCTTCCTCTATTACTACGGTAGCCGGCAGGATTCAAAACGCGAACGTGTGTTCGGTTATTGCCTAAACTGAGCTCAAGTCATTTTATACCCAAATGCCTGTTTCGGCTGCCAGATGCTGTGGAAGGAGGACGAGCAGCTGACTGTACATCTGCGCTTGCTCTATTATGTGACTAGTACCGTGCAGTTCTGTATCTGTACACGAGGTGGCAGTGTTCACTGGAGGTTCTGCCATAACACAGCCGTTCACTATAATCCATTCATAGTCCACACACTCATCTGGGAGTAAGCCCTCGTTCACACCTGAACGTGTTGTAGCGCGTTCTACGCTCGAAGAACGCTCTACAAAACGCTCTAAAATATAAATTGCATTGGAGTCAATGGACTCGTTCCCACCTTGCCGTATTTCCGCCCGTCCCGAACGCGCTACTTTGGGCCGTTTTGTAGGGCGTTTTCTATTGGAATACAGCCAAGTAGCCTTCGGAATCGCACGACGGTCGCGCGACAGACGCGCTTTTGCAATACGCCTAGGTGTGAACCCAGCCTAAAAGGACACCTGGTTGCAACAACGTTTTACAACACAGAAAAAGCGAGTCATATGGACCAAACGTTCATGTACATCAGCCATCAGTGATACTTCAGCACGTGCGTTTTCAGACAATGTTTGCACTTTGTTTTTACACTTTTTTCATGCTTAAGCGTTTTTGTTTTAGATAGTTACTAGGAGGAGGAGAAGCCGTGAAATTGTGTGAAAAACACATTTTTCAGCCACTCCTATTAAAGTCTATGGGGCCAAAAACACGCAATTCTGCCCAAAAAAAGCTTTTCCGAGCAACAAGTGACACAATGCTGGGAACAGGCATCAATGTAAATAATAGGATTGTTCATGTTGAGAGTTGTCGCAGTTCAGGAACTATGATATGCTCCGGTGTGATTGTAAGCTTAGGGTCACGTATGGTAAAAATTAGAGATGCACCGATATATCGGCCGCGGAACATATCGGCCGAAAATTGCACTTTTGGCTAAATACCGAAAGTGCAATTTTTCTGCTTTCTCTTCTCCCTGCTGGGCGCTGCTCTGTATCCCAGCGGGGAGGAGAGAAAGTGCGAGCGCTGCGGGAGGAGAGCGATGTGAGCGACCGGCGTCTCTCCTCCCACACCGCTCAGCCTCCTGTCACAGATCAGCAGAGCGGTGTGTGGGCGTAGACAGCCCGCACTGTCACAGGAGGCTGAGCTCTCCTCACGCACCGCTTGCTCAGCCTCCTGTGACAGCTGTAAGGATGGGGAGCGAGTACAAACACTCATTGATCGCTGAGTGTTTGTAGATAATTGAGGACAGGGTATGGTGACTATATCCTCAATTATGAATGAATGGGAAGTGATCTACATCACCTCCTGTTCATTCATGATTGTGGTTATAGTAATCATACTCTGTCCTCATGTTATCAATGAACAGGAACAATCAGCATAGAGGATTCCTGTTCATTTATAACAGGATTCAGAAAAAGAGATTAAGGCCTTTGTGTCCTCAATCTCTTTTTCTATTTTAAAAGGGAGATATCAGGGGTCTGTTTAGACACCTATTATTTCCACAGAGCCCCTAAAAGTAAAGTAAAAAATAAAAATATTTAATAAAAAATTAATCAATACATATAAAAACAATTAAAAAGTTTATAAAAAATAAATAAAAATAAAATATTCAAAAAAATTTGAGAAAATTAAAATACAAAACATTTTCAGTTTCGGCCTGAATCAGATCACACTTCAATAGCTTATTGCTGGGCTTCAGGAGCCTAGCAATGACAGCTATGGGACCGGAAGTGATGCAATACGCCTCGATCCCGATCCCATAGTACAGGGAGGAGACCGGTGAACGGACGTTTACCGGATCATAGAAGCGCCGGGAGTCTGTTCAGAATTAATGACGGAATTATCCTGTCATGGGTCGTGAAGAGGTTAAGGTACGTTTTCTATGCAAAGATGCTATGCATACATAGACACAATAGGCACCCACTACTCTATCCTTCTTAG